AATTGTTTTATTTAATCTAAAATATTACCATTTATTTATTTTGTAATTTCCAGATTTTTTAATGTAAATTTTTAAAATTTATATATGATAGCAGAATGTATTCCATTTCTTATTACATATATAGAGCACAATTTTTCATATCGTTGTAAACATAGTTTATTCACACCATTTGACCCAGCTCTCTTCAGTCTATACCCAAAGGACTTAAAAATAGCATACTACAGGGACACAGCCACATCAATGTTTATAGCAGCACAATTCATAATAGGTAAACTGTGAAACCAACCTAGATGCCATTCAACAGATGAATGGATAAAAAAAATGTGGCATATATACACAATGGGATATTACTCAGCAATAAAAGAGAATAAAATCATGGCATTTGCAGGTAAATGGATCGAGTTAGAGAAGATAATGCCAAGTGAAGTTAGCCCATCCCAAAAAACCAAATGCCAAATGTTTTCTCTGATATAAGGAGACTGATTCATAGTGGGATAGGGAGCTGGAACATGGGAGGAATAGAYAACTCTAGATAGGGCAGAGTGGTTGGAGGGGAAGGGAGGGGGCACAGGGTAATTAATGATATTTAGTAATTTTTCTTGGTTAAATTGTCTTCTATTACTAGAGTAATTGCTTTAACTTATTTTACTGTTTTAGAAATCTGGCCTTGATAATTAACTATAAATAGTTTATACCACAGCATAGCATATTATCTAAAGRCTTTTATAGCTTCTAAGACTAAAATATCTATTTTAAGAATTAGAGCCAAATTGAATTTAGCRTATTTTTTACTTAGTTGAGACAAGATAAAAGGTCTTCCTGAGCTTAGGACCTGTGGTAACCATGTGCTGTCATTCACCTTTTATCGTCTGGGCATCACCACTTTTTAGAACTTTCTAGACTCTCTGCCCACATGCTCAGATCTGGGAGATGGTTGAAGACCTCACAGCGGGACAGCGCTGAAGAGCATCTTGGGTCTCAGCCCCAGGACTACCTCTTTGCTATGTATGAAATTTTAGACAAACCATAACTCACTGGACTGTGGTATTTATCTCTAAAAATTACATATAAACAAGAGTTGCTATACTACTTCTGTCTCCCAAATTCTATGATATTTTGGGGAGGATGAGTTTATTTACAGTGTTTTTATTCTTATATTAATTTTTCCCAATTCTGAGGGAAGTCTACCAATTTGGTATTCCTTGTTGGTCTCCCAATAATGGATTCAAGGTGGCTCTTCTGGGTGTTGGTGGTAGTTGTTTTCCTAGCCCAGCTGACCATATATCGTCCAACATCCAAACTGGTTTTGAGCAGTCTTTACTATCAGTGTCATTTTCAATTAACCATCAATGTGGTGCAGGGTCTGAGGGATATTTTTRAAGATAATGAGCAGTGGTTGAGTACCCACAGGGGCTTTCTCGGGGGAATGTTTTTTGTTATCCTAGTTAACTATGGAATTGAAGTCATTAATTTATCTTGCTATCTCTGAAGAGTTTCTCTGGCTATCAGAAACTGCTTGAAGGTCTTCTTTTTCAAGATTAGTGTTTCTTCATTTGGATGGGTGTTTACAGTGCTGGCTATACCAGATGAATGTTTGATAGCCCTGTATTGAATTACCTCCTACCATTTTTTTTTTAAAGTTGATTATCTCTTAAGAGATATGTGCCTCCTTCTCCCCTCAGTGAGAAGTGAAACAGYACCTTGGCCTGGCTGTGGTCTCCGTGGTTCTAAGGGGGTTTCCCATCCTGGCCAACTTCCTGTGTTGGGCAAGGAGAAGAAGCATGAAGAACTTGCGGGAGAAGCCTGTGTTTATTTCCCTTAGGCCAGGACACTCCACCGAGGATTTTCTTTAGAGTCTTACAGTCACTTCAGGATATTGAAGGGCTCTCTTGATGGTTCCTGTAATTCTGCAGAGGAGTATTTAAGGAAAATTCTGCTGAGGGGGATTTAAGGAGAGGCCTTGGGCCCTGTGCTGAGGAGATCCTGTCCTGTGCAACCTTCTGTCTGGTGTGCATGTTTCCTTGCCACTCTGTGGTCAGTCCTCATCACAGAGGAAGTTCTGCTGTGGTGGTGACAGGTAGTCTGAGATCCACTTTGGTTTTGTTTCTCTCTGGAAAATGCTTATCTTATTTTCCTGGAACATCCAAATTGGTTTAAAGCAGTTTTCATTATCAGTGTCATTTTCAATAGATTCATTTTCCATTAACCATCAATGTGGTRCAGGGTCTGAGGGCTATTTTTAAGAATAATGAGCAGTGGTTGATTGAGTACTTACTGAGTCCTGGGCATGGGAGATACAKGGCTGCTGAAGGTATTCTAAATTGTTCTAAGCCTCCTGGGGGAGTCTAGACAGAAACTTAATGAGGGGAGGGTGTGATAAGAAAGGTGCGGAGCACTGCAGATTCCTAGAAAAGGGAATACCCGATATTCTTGCAGGGCCTAGAATATCTTTTAAGGTTTTTATTGTCATTGATTGGTTGTTATTTGGACTGGGAAATTGAAAGTAGACATGCTCTCCATCCTCATGCCAGAATTAGATTGGGAGTTCAGTGGAGATGAATTGAAGAGAAAAAGTGGTGCAGAGATTGGACAGCTTTGATGAAGTCAATTTGAGAAGTCCTGCTAATTATTTTTTTAATCTGGAGAATTTCCTCATTCTTTTAACATCCTAATGTATACTGTTAGACCTGGGAGAGATTATAGTACGCAATTCCTATGTTTGTTGGTTACGGATTTTTTTTTAACATAGAAAAATTTTTTCAGATTATTATTCCATAAAAACCTGTTAAGGAAATGATGTTATCATTAATTTTCAGCTCTTAAACTTCCAGATCTGTGTAAGCTTTTTTGCAGTTGACACATTGACCATATAAGGAAACAGTTAGCCTATAGGTTATTTTGTTTTGTTTTGTTTCAGTGCCGGGGCTGAACCCAAGACCCCTTGTGTGCTGGCCCTGAACCACATCCCCAGCCCTGGTAGAATTTTTTCATAGTGATATAAAGTGGACAGTGGCTGGTAGACATGATCGATAGTATGGGAAAGGTTAAAAGAGGGCCTGGATACCAACAGACCCTTTTGAAAATCAATGCTTTTTGAGCTAGGTTATGTTTCACCAATTTTCATTTTTTAATCATTGACAATAAAATCCTGTGAAGGAAATATTTTTGATTATCCTCATCCCCATTTTACAGATGAATGAACTGAAGCTCACATAATGGGTGGAAGGAAAATGCTGGGAGACAAACTGTGGTCTCTTTTCTGCTAAAGGCAGATTATATAGTTATATAAATTTATAAATTTTTGAATCTTTCTTTTGAATTTTCTCTATAGGTATGCCTTTTGATTATTGTGACTTAGCTGGTTAAGTATTTTTAATGAATAAATACACTAGTTTAGTGTATTTAAATTTAACCTGTAACTCTTCTAGACAGGCTACCCCTTGACTGAAGGCAAGTTCCTTGACATTTATAGAAGTAAGATTTTTCATTTATAAACGAGGGAGTTGGATCAAATCCTTCATTTTCAAACCATGGTGCATTCCACAGAATCCCCCAGGGGCTGGGAGTGGAAAGATCAACAAAGCAGGCATGCTGTCTCTCTCCCCTCCACTTCAGCCCAGGCAGCCAGATAGGTAACCTCTGATGGGGCTCAAGCACATTTGGAAAAAGGGATTCACTGACTTTTTGGTAAAACTGTAAAATTATTGGGCCAGATGATCTRCATTTCTGTAGTTTTCTCTGATATCTATTTAAGTTGCATATAGTATATGCATTTTCAAACATTCTTCACCAGATAGAATGATGGATTTAAAAAATTGCCGTATTCTTTCACATTATTAAGTACAAAGAGAATCAATGGTTTGTGTAGAGCCGTGTTCAAAGCACTATTGAATTATCCTTAGTAAGTACACCACTGGAGATCCTATAATACATGTGTGTTCTGACCTTATTCTTTTTCAGATCCAACTTAGTGCTGTCAGAGAAGACAAAAAACCAGAAAAATGGTGCTCCCTGAAACTGTTACATGTTTGAAAACTATGGAGTTCACAACTGACTTTCCATTTCTGTGTGCATGTGTTTTGGGGGAGTTGATATGGAAGTCCCAGTAGCCTAACCTTTTCTTTTGCTTCCACAGAAGGAAGAATTCTGTTCAAAAATGAGGTGAATGAATGCTCATGCACTCAGGAACCCTGGACAGCTTCATGAGGTATTTAACAACTGCTCTGACCATCTTGCCAAACAAGTCTCCACTCATGAGGCCCAATAAGATGAACCAGCCAAGGAGGGACAGTGTCCTGCCCTGTAGGAACAGTGACTGCTGACCTCTGAGAACAAGCTGGGGACTGCATGTCGTCTGCCAGTACCATGAAGGAAGTGGTTTATTGGTCACCCAAGAAGGTGGCAGACTGGCTGTTGGAGAATGCTATGCCAGAATACTGTGAACCTCTAGAACATTTCACAGGCCAGGATCTGATCAACCTAACCCGAGAGGATTTCAAAAAACCCCCCTTGTGCCGAGTCTCCTCTGACAACGGGCAGCGGCTCTTGGACATGATAGAGACCCTGAAAATGGAGCACCACATGGAAGCACACAAGAACGGCCATGCCAACGGACACCTCAACATTGGCGTCGACGTCCCCACCCCTGACGGCAGCTTTAGCATCAAGATTAAGCCCAATGGGATGCCAAATGGGTATAGGAAAGAGATGATAAAGATACCCATGCCAGAACTGGAGCGCTCCCAGTACCCCATGGAGTGGGGCAAGACGTTTCTGGCCTTCCTTTACGCACTTTCCTGTTTTGTTCTCACCACAGTGATGATCTCGGTCGTCCATGAACGAGTGCCTCCTAAGGAGGTGCAGCCTCCACTACCGGACACGTTTTTTGACCATTTTAACCGGGTGCAGTGGGCCTTTTCTATTTGTGAAATTAACGGCATGATCCTTGTAGGACTCTGGTTAATTCAATGGCTGCTCTTAAAATACAAGTAAGTAAAGTCAAAGCTCTAAGATGCGGTGAAAGAGGGGTTTATACTCCAGACATCTAGTAATTATTTGGAAGTGAAATTCATCAAGCAGTTGGAATCAAAGCATATTAACTGCTTTTTCTTTCATTTTTTTAACTACATACTCTGTTGAGCTAACTAAAATTCTGGCAGCTTTAAGAAAATGCTGTTAGTTCCCTGGTTTATTCAATATTCATATAGCATGACAACTAGGACTGTGAGAGATGGTGTTCTGTTTTCACTTAACGAGAAGGAAAACTCTCAGACATCTTTCAGAAAGTACTGGCTGATAAACAGCAGGTAAACCACCTAGTCTTGGTGTTATTAACTCAGGAAGTAAATGATTGGCAGCTGGCCTAAGTATTGCGCATGGTGGGGATAGTTTTCCCCACACAGTCAGACCTGGAACCTCACAGATACATATTGAAAGATGAGTTCAGAATAAGTATCCCACAGTGGCTTGGGTTGTTGGGAAAATGATATCCTTAGGATACGACTTGGGTAGGTGGAATGTGGAGGAACCTTGGTGATTTTGTCTTATTTGTTTTGTGGCAATTAAAGCAGTCTGTGACTATTCCATTCAAGTCTCTCAGGGCTATAAATAGGCACCTCCGTTTAGTTTTGTGTGGGTGCAAGTGGTTTTCAGGTCTCAAGCTCTAAAAACCCAAACATAGATTTCCAAAACCACTTACCTGGGTAACGACTTGTTGTTGTTAATTAATGCCCTTGTCTTTGGTGTCTGACTTTCCTCTGAGTGAAACATCTTTATGACGCCCTTGTGTGGGATTCTGGCAGCCATTCCTTGAGGAAGTTCAGTTCCTCTTGGTGAACTGTTTCATGACCCACAGTGCAGCTAAGTATTGAAGAGATCACCTTAACTCAAGAAAATAAATTGTGGAAATAGAGTTCATCCTGAACTGTCTCTGACAGAAATGATGGGATTTTTCCTGGTATTTTATTAAACTATTTGAGTTTTGTTTTATCTTATAAATTATATCTGTGAATGGAAATGATGAGAGCAGTTGCTCACTCTTGGCCAGGGAAGGACTATCTTAATCTAGATAAAAGTCATTGAAGTAGTCAGTGTTTATTTAGGGCTGGTTTGGCAATCCTAAAGTTTAAACAGAAACTGAAATAAAACTAGTGGTCTGGGCTACATTTGATTTGGTTGAAGAGCTGTTTCTGTTGCTTAGTTTTAAGAGGATGAAGGATATGTTTAGAAATATGGATGTTCAGAATTCCTTAAATGCATTCCTTTGGTTGCCAAACTTCAGTCCTGCTTTTTGAATTATAAACTTTTTGACTTCTCAACTTTTTTCCCTAAAAGCTCAATGGGGGAAAAAAAATGTTAGTTCTTCTCTACAAAGGAAAGTTTAACTTGAATTATGCTTCCTGGGTTTTTTTTTTTTTTCCTGATGTTTGGTGTTTTGTTTTTGTGTGTTTGTTTCCTAAATTTTTATCAAAATTCTTCCATGYAGGCATATAATTTACTACTTTGGAATCTAGCTTTGAATAAATCACACATGATTCTCACAGAACTGTGGCTTTTAAATGAGTTTATTCTTGTTCAAAGGAACTGTCTTTGATATAGGACTATTTTCTTTAAAATGTTTATTTTTTCCCCAGCAAGAGATTTTCCTGAAATCTGCAAACTTTTTTATTTTATGTTTTCCTGGTACTTATTGCCAGTACTGCTGACACTTAYATATTTAAATTGTTCAGCAATAAACTAGCCAATTTGTTTCTTTTACAGAATTAATCCAGGACTGGGATGCAGGCAGCCTGTSTTCCAGCCCAACCAGGGCCTAATGTGCTGAGTGGTTTGAGTGGATCCCTAACTATTTTTCTCAGAAAATAAGGTCCCCTTAAGTATAAACTTCTGTTGTCCTAGGCAACCATGTGTTCTTTGAATTTAACATTACTGGACATGCCACTCAGGTTCAGAGTATTTCTGTCTAGAATGCATCCAGCTAAGGATTCTTTAAAATCTTCTTTGAACCATGTGTGGTGGTGCATGCCTGTGATCCCAGCTGCTCCAGGAGGCTGAGGCAGGAGGGTCAYAAGTTAGAGGCCAGCCTTGGCAACTTAGTGAGACCTAAAAATTTTAGAAAAGGACTCAGTGACAAAATGCTAGCTTAGCCTTTTTTGAGGTCCTYGGTTCAATCCCCAGTGGGGGACAGGGAGGTGGAGTCCTCCCTCTGGTTTTCACCTCTGGAAAGATAGGGATGTGGGAAGCGAATATTGTCCTAAACATCCCTGCCCCTGTCCTTTTACTGGGCCACACCACTGCTGTCCATCTCCCTCCTTGTGATCTCTTGTGAGTGTATGTGGCCCACCAGAYGTATAAGAGATAAGAAGATACAGACTGACATATCACACAGTAGGTAGTGAACTGCATTTCCCTGGCTCTCATAAAGAAGGTTAAAAAGATCTTAATTAAAATTTTAAATTTTGTAGTGTCATAGTTCCCTTGTTGCTAGTTAATTACATATTATAGTATAGCAGTTTTATTCATGCAGCATTTTCAGGAAATAGATCCTTCTGGTGTGGAATGTTTTGTTTAACAGAGTGTTAACCTCTCCCTCTTTTTGTGTTTGACTCTCTTGAGTTCCGACCAGTCTCCCCACCATCCACCAGGAAGTTTATCACTTTAACAGCACACTTTACTCAGCTCCTTGGAATTAAACCTGTTTGGCTATTAATTCCCAATAGGGCCCTTGACTTTGATTTTAAGAGCCCTAGAGCCCTTAAAAAAATAGCATATTCCATCTTTCTTTTTTGTCCTCTACTTTTCAGAGAAGAAATGGGATGAAGCTGTAGAGGATGACTTACAATTGAGGAGTGAGACCACTGGAATTTAGCTAACGTTTCCCAGTAGAACACCCTGTAACTTGAGCTTGGAGGTGCTGGAAAACCTTAGAGCTTAAATTGTGACATTTGGCTCTCTCCTTATGTTGTATACAGTTGTTCTTTTCTGTGGAACATAGGTTCTGTTTTATTGCACTTAATTTCCCCTCATCTCATTCTTCACATCTTCCCGTCAAGTCTGGATGTATATATGTTTACATAAGCACATATCCTCGTGGGATTTCCATGACATTGAGAAGGGGAAAGCAGCAATAATACCTGTCCTTGAGAAATTCTTTGGTTTTTAAAATTGTAAATAAATGTTGTCTCCCCATWTAGAATTGGACTTTCAAGCCACTGACTAGGAAAAATTCCTGGGAATCTGCATTTGTGTCAGACTTCACTGCAAAACAGGTATCCCTTGTTTTAAGAAAGCATGATAAAAAATATATTAAACATACAGATTTGATAAAGGCTCAAGATTTAAAGACTTTGCATGGCTAAGTCGTAGTTAACACGGTGGCACCAATGTGTGATGTGTGTGCCTCCACTCTGTCAGGCCAGGGAGCATACTGTAGAATTTCCAAGTCAAAGGTTTACTAGTCACTAGAGGAATAATTATGACTGAGTGTGGTAATCAAGGTACCTCAAACTCAACTTGTCTGACGTCAAATATGCTAGCTTTGAAAACTTCCATTTTTTTTCCCCTTCCTCTCTGACCAGTGGCATTTATCAGAAACCTAAGAGGGCTCCTCCCTTCATTGTCACTGAGTTGAGTCAGTTCCAGCTCTGTCAGTTCTAATTTCAGATACATCTCCTCTTTACACCCCAGGTTGGTGTTCTCAGTCRAGACTCACATGGAGAACCAGTTCCTCAGCCTGAGGTTCAGGGTTCTTCCTATTCCAGTCCCTGGCTAGCCTGCCTAACCTCTAGCTACTCCATTCCATGCTTCTCCTTGAACTAGCTCATTCTGTTACTTGTGTGTGTGTCTCCTTCACTACTAGATTTTAAGTTTCTCAAAAACTAGATCCCATTCATCATTCATCTTTATATCTTTCTGCCTGGTACAGAGTCTAGGACATAGAAATACCCAGAAAATGCTCTTTTAAAATGCATTCGTTCATTCAGCCTGTGTTCACTGAGCAACTTAGTATGTGTCGGGTACTTGTAGACCCTGGGGATGCTACATTGAACAGAGGACCTGGGATTCTCATGAAGCTTATCTTCTGGCTGGGGTAAGATGGCAGTAAACAAATGAATAGATGATAATAACTAATTTAAGGGAAATGGAGAAAAAGCAGCATAAAGGGCGAGTGTTGGAGATGGTGAGGAGGGATGGAGCTAGTAATGAGGTGACAGTTGAGCACATGAAGGAGAGTGGCATGGGGGCTTTTAGGGGAAGAGCAGTGCAGGCAGGAGACCCAGCAGGTGCAGAACTCCTGAGGAGCACCCAAGGGTCTCTGGGGCCCCTGAGCTGGTGGAGTGAGGACTCAAGAGGTCCGATGAGATGTGGGTGGTGGCTCATGCAGGACATTTGTGGGTGAAGAGTTGGGATTTTGTTTCCTGTGTGGTAAGTCATTTGAGGTGGAGGATGTGAGCAGATTTATATCTTGAAAGATTCATGACTGTGGCTGCAGTCTAGAGAACAGGGAAGCAGGATTTGAAGCAGGAGGACTGAATAGGTTGCCACTGTGGAAGTCCAGGTGGTTGAATTGATTCATGTAATGTTTGTTCAGTGAATGAATTTTGGGTGGGTGATGGGAAGTCCTGGCTTCTGTTGCATTTAGAGCTGCCCATCTTTTGTTGGGGTAAGACATTTTCCTGAAAGGAGTAGTGTAAGTCATTTGGGGATTGGGGAACAGATTGTATAAAATTCATTAAATATTGCAGGATAGTTGGTCCATTAGTGGTGGAAATTGTTTTAGAAAAAAGAAAAGGAGCCTTGGTCAGTTGGGTTGTGGGGTAGAGTTGAAAGAGCTTGGTAGTGGAGTTGTTTGGGGGATAGGGTAGAACATTCTGTTATAAACACTTGACAGAGACATAGTGAGGCAGGAAGGAACAAGTATAGTCTTCTGTATGTTTTTTCTGAGATTATATTCTGATAGAACTGGAATGGATTTTTAGATGTTTACTGG